TACTAGTTAAAATTAAATCAGTCATTGTCCCATTCAAAAAGTAACTTGGACATCACAACCAAATTGTATTGTAATCTAAAGCAGTTATTTTCTTGCTTTCTTAGCTGAACTACAGCTTTCTTGACTGTTATTCCCTTGCTGCATCCTCCCTCTGCTGGTTCTTTTTTTTCCTGAGTCATAAGATGGTGATGTTCCCATTTGCAGAATTTACTGTTCACTGTTTGGACTCTAGTTAACCCGTTAACTGTTGATTGTAATATGATAAGAGATTCAATTTTATAAATATGTTTTTGTTCCAGTTTGTAGGTTTTGTTCAAGTAAATAACTTAAAACAAACAGACACGTATTCACTGTGCACAGGGTCAGCATTATCTTAAAGTTCCTGGAGTCATGTTACATCGACTCTCTACAAGCCAGACACTTCTCTAAGACAAAAAGCTGAGACCGGTCCCGATGGTGTCCAACTTGGAGAGAGTTGACTGTAATAATAACAATAATAATAATGGTACTTTTGAAAAAAAGGAAAAAGCATGCACAATGTGCTGTGCTCCTATTCTTTATTTCAATATAGAGAGTTGTTGGTGAGAGAATCAAATCATCATGGCATTATCACCCTCACAAAAATGATCCCCAGATGTGTTTAGTCAAAGCAAACAAATGTGTGCAAAATGTATATATAGTTAGATACATTTGAAGGCATATGCATTACAAGCATGCTTGTGTCAACAAGGACTAGTTTTCACAAGTAGGTTGAAATGTGATATAGTTATTTTAGTCTGTTCCCTTGTTGCAGCTGTTTAATATCATGTTTTATTATATGGCTGTTTCTCACAAGGACTGGGAACTACTGAATTCACGAATTTGATTGGCTGAAATCGATATTGACCGCAGTCTAGATTTTCCCATCTAGACCGGCATCTAGACCGGTTTCATTTTGTGTTGAAAAAGTAGCTAACTAAAATACAAAAATGTTCACTGTTTCCTTTTATTTTCTTCTCAATCATTTATGGAATTGCCAAAAAGCCTGATGACGAAGGAAAAAAAGGTAAAGAGGATGAGCAAATTTCAGCAGATTTAAGTTAGGCTCATTTCTGTTTGCAAGCAAAATGTCAGCAAACCAGTTACATTAAACGAATAAACATCTTATTAACCGAGCTAAGTTGGTCTGTCTAGGAGAATCTTGACCTCAGTCGTGTGTACAGACCTCACTGCGTTCAGTCTGCACTCACGTCCTCTGTCAAGATTCTCCCAAGTAATGTACTCATTTATGCAAAACTAAATTTCACAAACTAATTCCAGCTATGCACCCTACTTGAAATGCATCCTTACAACACCTTAATCCTTGAAAAATCTTTCAGAATACATATGATAAAATTGTGCCCAACTATTATTGGATGCTATATTATTGTAATGACACTCGTTTATCTATACATAATATGCCAATTAACTAGAAAACTATTTAAATAAAAAATATAAGTACAAAACTTGTTGTTTCATTATATTTAAAGAAATTAACATCCAAAAACGTTAGGCACACAATGGGTGCAAGAGTTATTTATATTTAGTGACATTGTTAGACTGTCGGGTACTTAATTTTCTGGGGTTTATAAAATTTAGTGTGCATGTTAGGAGTAGTAGCCAATCCAATGAGGACCAACAAGTTTGGTTGGCTGCGATATATAGAGGCAAAAATTAGATTTAGAATTTATGATATACTTGTATGTAGAATCCAGAATAGTTGTGGCTTGCTGGTTGTGCTTAGTGCTGGAAAAATGTTGATTGAGCACTAAGTAGGTGAGATGCCAGGTTTGGACTAGGACGAAGGTAAAAGCAGCAAGACAAAGGTTTTCACTTAAGGACGGTGCCTACTTTTGTTAGTGTGCACACGTTCTGCGCATCACGCAAGGCAGGTTTAAGTGCCACACGCGCGCTGGGGTTGACACTGACACAGTCAACTACGCTACCAAGTACATGACTAAAATGAAAGCAAAATTTTCCCACTGTGACCAAATCAAGTTTAATAAACCTGTATTTAAACCAGGAACACCAGAATAGCAGCATATTGCTAACCACTAACTGTTAACTTCTTCCAGCTGAAAAACTAGCTGTTATCTGTCGAAAATTATACTGAAATCTAACTGTAACCTTGTACCTGCAGATGGCCTAGTGCGCATGCAAAACAAGTTCGAGATACGCAAAGGTTTTACTTACTGGGGGGGGGGGGNATGGAGGTGGCAAGCCTATTCAATATGTGATTAGTTTCTGGTTGTGAGCAAAAGGTATTTCGACTGTATTTTAGCTAAACCAGAGGAAGGCTGTCAGAGACCCTAAAAGCGCCGTTGCAACGATTTTGTTATTAGAAACATACCAAAAATGGCTTTTATGTTACCATTTACCATGTAGTTTTAAGATCTTTATAAATGTGTTTGCTTTTCTGTCTGTAAAGGCGAATTCTAAGGAAATCTGTGAAGAGATATCCTTTCCTTCTTTTTTCAGAAAAATGCTGATGTCCGCATTTTTGTTGAGATTTAAGGCTAATTATCTCGAAAAAATGCATGGTTACCCCAATTTTTCTTCGGGGATTCCCGTAGCCCTTGCAAAGATCTACTTTTTCTGTGTGGTGCTAACCTGGCGCAAAAACTTTTGTATTTAGTAGGCAACATCCTTAAACAAGTGTGGTTACAGGGATGGTGGAGCATATTTTGAATTGGGGGGCTTACAAACGAGCACCAGTTTTAATTATCATTTTATGTATTTTTTGCTTGAAATTGCTCTCAAAGACTCAAATAACAATGAAGCTTATCAATAATTCGACATAAATATGTTGCAGATTGTTGCAGTTTTTTAAACTAAAGTCAGTTAAATAAAGCTCGGTGTTTTGTATTGACATTGAATGTAAAGAGGATTTTTATGCTTTTCAGTTCATAAAGGAGAACTAAAGGTTAAAATTAAGTTTTTTTTTATCATAGTCTATACCACAAATACTGATTTTTTTTGGCATATCCATCTTTTTTTGACCTGATATAAATAGTTTTTACTGTCATTTTGGCCATCAGCATTGCGGCTCACAATTGGAGGGTCAGGGGGCATTTCAGCAGTCTATGACATGTGATATGGGGAAGATAGGCTAGTTTATAATCCATCAAATATTTTCGCTCGCGCACGATTGGTCTAAACGCTTTACGTGACTGAATATTCCCCAGCTAAAACTGGGGAATATCCGAGATTATTATCCAACTGAAGCGAATACCATCCAAATAACAGTACAAATATACAGCGATATTGTAGTTATTTGTACAGTAGAAAACCTGTTTGCTGTACAGGTC